CTCTGGAGGCAAGCCTTTTATACTTAAGTCTTTAAGATAGTGTTACCTTGTGAGCCACAGAATTTGCTTGTGACTCCATGTAGAATTTGTCTTGGGTATCAGGGTTTAGTATTTGAAGTACAGATTATTTAAATATCAATGAGCCTCCATATAAATATATTAAATTTTTTTATCTTTATTATTCAGTCTTTTTGTTATTTCAAATTATTAAAATGTTTTGCTTTTTAACTAGAATGAACTGATCAAATTATAAGTAACACATTTATATAATCTATTGTATATATACCCTCATGTGTGTGTGTATATTAGTGTATACATATATTTAACAATAAACATTATTTCTGGTAGACAAAAGAGAATAAAGAAATAAAACTTTTTGGAAATTAATTAAAAGTTCATATGAATAACAGAACTTGTAAATGAAGTAGTACAGGTTGTGTTGGATGATGTTTAAATGGTTAAGCAATTTGATAACATCTATTCTAGGAAGATAGTTTTCTTTTTAATCTTAGTGACATATTTTCTCTCTTAAAAAATAAATTTCCAAATAGGGAGCTGGGACAAATGAAAAAGTTCTGACAGAAATTATTGCTTCAAGGACATCTGACGAAATAAGAGCCATAAAAGAAGTGTATGAAGAAGGTAAATATTTTGAATTATATACCACCTGTCTTTATTACTTTTATTTGTCAAACCTGAATGTAGTACTTTTATAAACACAGCAGGCAGGTAGTGCATGGTGGTTGAATAAATGAAGGAATAAAAACATTTCCCTTTCAGTCTATAACTATTTTAAATAGTTTATAAACAACTGTAAATAATGATGGACTTCATTTTTCATAGGATTTAAATTATTAGAGGAATATACAGATTACCTTTCCTTTACATTAGCTTTAGTTGTTTATAAGTACTTTTTCTTCCTTTAAATAAATTCGCTCTTGTGCCCATAGAAGCTAGGAGTCATCTAAGTATTTTGGGAACATGGGCAAAGGAACCTAAGCTCCTTTCCAGATGAGAGTTGATGAAAGGACTTGAGGGGGTGCGTATTTGTTTTAGGTAATGGCAGTGCTTGGATGGCGGACTCTGCACTTTGATTTTTCTTTTAGTCCACTTTTATATTTCAACCTAGAGTATCCTACAAGTGGAATTAAGTAAATGAGATGAAAGGGAAAGCAGAGAGGTGTTCTTCTCTTGTGAGACGTCCTGAAGCCCATTCCTTTTTTCTCCTGAGAAAGAGCAGGGCATAAGAGCTAGTAATGCAGTGGGCAGATTCCATGCCTCAACGCCTGTTGTGTCTCTGTCGCAGTGTTAGTCTGTGGATCTTAGCAATGACTTCGTAACCCATCACGCCAGAACAGTATGAAATTTAGACCATTATTTAGACTAAATAATTACCTTTCCCAACCACTGAGGAGAAGTGACACATATACCTTAGCTTTTAGGTTTATTTGATGTATTGCCCAAGGATCTCTTTCTGTGAATGTTGACATTGATGATTGGGCCTTCATGCTGCTGGGCGGCACGTTAGGTGCTTGGAGGGTACAATGTCTGTGTGATGGGTACTATTCAGCTAAATTACTGAGCACTAGCTGTAGATCTGACACTGTCCTAGCTGTGCAAACACAGCTCCTGTCCTCAGAGTGTCTGTGTGCAGCCCGAGGGCCAGGGGACGTGTGACTTAGTACAACTGCAATAAACAGTAGTGAGATTCAAACTAATACCCACAATGAAGTCATCAGGTGTTTGGATGTTGGGATGGATCATAGAGCAAGTAAGACAGTCAGCAGACTTTCAAGTCTAAGTGGGCTTACTGAGTATCCCCTTTTTAAATGAGTGGATAAAGAAATAGTATACACACATAGGCACACACACACATACACACATACACACTATGCAGTTTACTCAGCCTTAAGATGAGAACTCCTGTCATGTATTTTGATTTTTCTTTTGAGTCTGTCTTACTTTATTTTATTTCAGCCTTACAGCATTGTGTGCATAGAAGTTGGAAGCACAGGCAGACTTGGAAGGTGTTCTAAATGAAAAAGCCAGACACAGGAAGGCAAATAACTGCATGATCTCACTTATGTATGGAATTTAAAAAATTGAAC